ATTTAATAGTAATACACGTTTAAAAGACGGCAGTAAACCTTTTAAAATGCGTGTTTTCTGAATGGAGATCGGCTAAGCTAACGTTGTATATGCTCCGACCGTAAACCAGCGACTGTATTCTCCATGACACAGACAGTCTGTGGTTTGTACTTGTTTAACTTTTGTCTAGTTTCTGAACAGATATGAGGAGCTGTGAGCTCTGAGGGCTAACAGCTAACGTTTTGGTTTTGCAGTTCGCATTGAAGATGACGTCACAGCAGTTTTATGCAGCATCGCGCCGCCTACACTGCGTTACTATAGTTACTACCACAGTTCCTACACTGTAATGGAAACGCAGCATAAAGTGAGCCTTGCCTACCAAGGCCTAACCATACCGTACTAAGCCGTGCGAGGCCCTGCAGTGGAAAAGTGCCATAAGAGTGTCATTTGGAAAAAGGACTCAAGTGGAGTGATATTTGTGTTTTATAGAAGATCCTCATAATATTTATGAAATATTGTGTATTAAACAGGGAATAACATAAAATACAACACTGCCCTCGGAGGTAGAGCCTCTCTCCTATACCTACCTCACTGGAACTCAACATTATTTCTGAGCATGAGCAGGAAGGGAGGAAGGGGGAGGCAGGAAGGGGGAGAAAACAGATGAGAAGCTGAACATGCTGGGGGCAATGCTACCCTAATGACAGGAGGATCAATAATCCACAGAAGGAGAATCGACCCAAGAGTACCCTCAAATGGTCGCTGCATGAGGTCATGAGTATGAACATTCTCATATGAAGAAATGAATCTGTTTATTGTGATTCAATTGTTCCCTTTTTAATGAGACAGTGAGAACAATTTGTTGTTACACTATTGCTGTATTTGAATCGTCTCTAAATCTTATTTGTGTGAAAGATTTCTTAATTAAATAGTATTCCCCTTTCTTATGTCTTTAAAGTATCTTTGTGCCTCCTTGCCCCCTGCCCTGTAACACCCCCTCACTTCTTACCGGAAGAAAAACCTCCACAGGGTCCAGGTGAAGATGAGGAGGATCCCCAGGAACCAGCACTGCGTGATGAAGAAGGGGATGGGCAGCATGATGGTGTTGGGGTCGTATTTGACCACGATGAGGAACTCCGTCACTGTGATGGCCGCCACCAGCCACGCCTGCTGCCCCAGCTTCCTATGGAACTTGCTGTGGGGACAAAACAGACTGGTGTTTTGACTGTTTATAGGTAAGCTTGTGATATAAACCACACCAAATACACCTATGTGACCTGCTCCATCGACATCAGTCGCATTGACCCAAAGACACATTTTGAGTTGTATACACAAGAGGAGATTCCTAGCTTTCGAATGATATCAGGATTGTTGTTGTACTCCAAATAGTAAGCAAAATATGTCACATTATCAGAGATGGAGTACTCGAGTGCCGATTTTAGGGACTCGTGACTCGACCTCGCGCACTGATTGGCGCGGCTCGGACTCGTGAATTCTCGATTCAATAATACATGAAGACTTGTGACTCGGACTTGAATAAGTAATGCAGACCCTTTATGATTTGACTCTTGTCTTTCTATATGAGGGGTTGAGTTGAGCTACTTTCCATTAAACATATAGAAATGCAGAATAGCCCCTTGGTTGGGATGTATGTGATCAACCCATGAACATAATCAAACCCTTCAACTGCTACTCACGGGTCATCCATGAAGTCGTAGATCTCCCTCATGGCTACTCCTCCTACGTTGACGAAAAAGACGAGGCGGAGCAGCACCAGGTAGTGCTCCGGAGGCATCCACAGCACGAACTTCAGGTAGAAAGTGTTCAGCTCCGCCAGGAGGAACTGGGAGAGAGAGGAGAGAAAAGGAGGGGTCTTCATTTAGGATCACTGACAAGAGGATAATACAAGAGAAGCTCGTAGGACACCACGCATGCCCTGCGTGGATTATCTCTACATTTGTTGGTAGTGAGTGACTCATGTTCTGATATATTCAAAAACGTTTATGACTATGCCTGATGTTGGGGAATAATTTGCTTAGGTATTCAACCTTTGACACCGTTCATCATTTTCCTCTTCTCACTGTCTCCTTTCCCACGGCATAGGTCTACGGCCTTGGGTAATGCTGCTATCTCTCTTTAGGAGGGGCAGCTTGGGCGCATTGTTGTTAGAGCTTATGACCGAGCACAAGCTGACATGAGATAGTTTATTGTTCAGGGACGTCTAGAAGCCCTTCTTTTTAGGAACGTGTTAGGAACCCTGGTGCACATTCTTTTCTATGGACGACAGCTCTAGTTAGATTCAGGGTCCATATTTGTTTAGTCTTGCTGATTACATTTAGCTGACGCTTTTATCCAAAGCAACTTACAATAAGTGCATTCGACCAAGAAGATACAAACTTGAAGAAAACAGAATCATATAAGTACATCAGGTTTCATAGAGCTAAAACATTTCAAGTGCTACTCAACTGGCTTTAGATAATCCAGTGCTTTATTAGTATATAAGTGCTTTGATAGTAATTCTATCGCTCGAAGTGGAGTCGAAAGAGATGAGTTTTCAGTCTGCGCCGGAAAATGAAGAATGGTGATTATTACACTCTGAACTAGTTAAAACCTCGAGCTACAGGAGAGTTCTTCAGAATTGATTGTGGCATCTCATCTCATTGTGGGCGACTGTGGCTGTGAGGGAGTGTGGTCGTCTTTCAACCAGAAGGTTGTGGGTTCGATCCCAGCCCATGCAGTCAACATGTCGATGTATCCTTGGGCAAGATACTTAACCCTGAGTTGCTCCCGATGGCATGGCCAACGGTGTGTGAATGTGTGTGAAT